ATTTGAGTTATTTTGATATGAAGAAAAATATTCTAAAACTTATATTTTATTAATTAAAAAGATTATATATATAAAATAATAAAGTGTAACATCACTTTGGAATGCTCTTTTCTTCGAAATTGAAAAACATAAATAACTCATTAATTCATATAATCAATTTATTTTGAAATTTCACCTCAACCGTACATGATCGATTGCAATAAATAATAAATTAATTAACCCATTTAATTGTCAACCTAACGTTTGAAGTTTCGAATTGATAATTGATTTGGTAAGCATGCAATAACATGTGAGAATTTTTTTCCTTTACCTATACATTTCACACATTGACAATGAGTATTATTTTTTCAAACACATTCAAAAATATCACAAATTGGGTTCTCATTCTCTTACAAACATTTTGCCAAATTTTAATCATTGTCTCAAGGAATAATTTCAGAATTTTTGATATCAATTGAGGTAAGAATACATAGTACAAAGTGATAAAATTTCTTATTTCTTGATATTTATATAAATTTTGACATGAAATACTTTAAAGCTTTAGAGTCGATTTCTATGTTAAATCATATGGGATAGACCGTTTGGTTAGATATGTAAATCCTACAGGTTATATGAATTGTTAAGAAATTCCTTGAGCTATTGGATATCACGACCAACTTGCTCTAAATCTAATAAAAGTTGGCATGTTATGTCATTTTATATTTATATAATGTTAATAAGAATATGCACGTATTTCTTACTAGGTATTTTTAAAATACTTACTCTTGCAATAACTTTTCATATTAGAACGGGTCATTTGGACGTGTGGCAAATTGACCGAATTCAAGGACAAATCCAGGACTTCGACTTAGTTAGGACATTCGTTGATCGTTGACTGTCGTAGTCAACGACCGTATAACGATATCGTTTTTTAGTATTAAATTAAATAATATTAAAAACTCTACCATCTATACATAAATACACTAAAACTTAAAAATCGTATATTTATCATAATATAGTTTAACACAATTCGAAATAATATAAATTACATGATACATGAGACTTCTTTGTATTATCGATATTTCTCAAATCGTTTGCTTAATTAAAAGTAGCAGAGGGATTGATGCACCACTATAAGAATTAGATTATGATTCAGTTGAAAAAACTATATCATAATCAGTATGAGAATTGAACATCAATAAAAAAAAATTAAATATAATTAAAATTAATTTTAAAAATATAATTAAAGTTTCAATTTTCAATTATCAACACTAATTCATCAAAAATTATAAAATCCCCAATTTCTCATTTTCAATTTTCATAAATCACATATTCACATTTCACAATACTCAAATTAATTTCTATATATCAATTCACAGTTTACATATTCTCAAATAACACATAAATTAAAACTCAATACTCATAAGCCATATCTTATAAATTATTAAAGCATAAAATATTTAAAACAACAAAGCCAACAAAAAATAAATAAATAATAGTCACTGACTTACCTAGAGTCTTAACATAGATTAGTTTGCTAAATTTCGTATGAAAATTCAACGATTGTCATGATGGTTAAGCTTTCAATAGTTCTAACTAGAGGTCACAGGTTACAATCCCTTTCTTATGGAATTAATTTTGGTAAATATTCTAGAAATAAAAATGCTGCACAACAAATTAGATGGAAATGACTCGAACCCAAGATTTTCAATGTATAAATGCAAGCTCTAACCAACAAAGCAACAAGAGGTGATTGAAAGTAAAATAAATCACTAATTATATAAGCTAAAAAATTCATCTATTATCAACAACAAAAAATTGCTTCCGACAGATCAGCATGCGCGGTCATGAGGCCTCGCCAGGTGCTAGATCCACCCCAACTCGTAGCTGGATTACATATATATTACCGTTTCTCCTCTTATAGTTTGATTTTCGATATCTCTCTTCTCTAGGAAGCAAGGAGAATTCTGTTATATTTCTTCATCTAAAAATCAATGTTTCTTACATAAATTCTTCACATTAGCATATCAATGTTGAAAATGTTGAAAAAATAATTAGTTGCAGTAAAGTTCAAAAATAAAACTTTTCGATTGATCGAATCTCGTGATAGCGCAATGTCCTAAAATAAAATTACCCATTGATAACTGCTGTGACCTATATGGACAATCATTCTTAGGATTCAACGATCACAAACTACTTGTGCAACAATCATGAATAGTTTCCCACAACTCTAAGTGCACTCCAGAAAAATATTAAAAAAAATTCGAGTATATAATTTTAGAGTATGAGAAATTATGATATTGTTTATGATGATTTCCTTTTGTTTTTTAATGTGTATTTTTGCAAACGGGATAGGTGTATATACAGGCAGAATGGATCCAATTACCTCTACCATAAATATCAAAGTTGCATTTGATTACAAGAGAAGTTTTTTAGGCTTTCACGTGAATTTCTTTAGATGTAGATCCTCTGTTACCATATGATAAGGGCACGCGATCATTTCCCTAAAATTTTTGTCATTTCAAGGATGAATTGATTCAAAATCGGGGAAATCCACTATTAGATAATCTGTTTTGCCCTTGGCATCATAATAATAATTAACAAGTAAGTTTTATTGCATGTACTCATGCTCAATTCAACTCATTTCAACCCTTCAAATTAGAGGTGGGCATTTGAACCGAAATTGAACTGAAATTGGTGGTTCCGATCGGCTCCCAAAAAAAAAAAAAAAAAAAAAAAATATATATATATATATATATATATATAGACTAAAACCTAAAATCGAATAGATTTGGATCTGTTCTTGGTTCTTGAATTAGAATTATGGGTACTAGGATGAAACCGACTTCTTCTTTTTTTTTTAATCTTTTTTTTTTCATAATTTATAGGTGGAGCAAAAAAATTTCGAAAGTTATTAACTTAAACACTAAATAGGCTAATAAAAATCTAACACAACCCAGCTTAACGTGGTCAAATATTTTTCCTCATTTGATTCTTCGTTTTTCAATTTGTAATCCACTTAGTGAATCATTTAGTACCCGTCCATTTTGTCAAATGATTGTTGTTGTTGACTATGCATTACACATTTGTAATTTTATGGTTGTTTGGTAGTGCTTTTTTAAGTGTGTATAAGTTATTATTGCTTGTTGTTGATTATGTATCATGATTGTAATTTAGTGATTATTGGTTTTATTGAAATTTGAACTGACAGAGAATAAGAGCATGTTTGGTACAATTTAAAATTCAATTAAAATAAATTTTTTGATCGTTATTTTACCATTCCAACCATCATTTTTGAATTCTTCTCTCACATATACGACTCACTTTATCTCTAACGATCAAAAAATCAATTAACAAAATCCCTACCAAACAAACACTAATACTAGTGCTTGAACACGTTGGTTCACGAAATTTATCTAGTTGTATTTTCTCCCTTTGCAACCTTAACTTCTAGAAGATTTAGAAATGGATTCAAGGTTTTTCAAATATAATTTGGTTTATTTTTCACTTGTTATGCTTGCCCTGACTTGTGTACTTGTAACAAAGGCAAACCTAGGGGGAAAAATGGTAGTAGCATGTCATCCCTTGTTATCAGATCTTTAGTAGATTTTATTGAAGTGGATGAATATGTGATTGAAAAGTCGAGGAATTCATAAAATATATAATTAAAATTAATCGTTAACTCTGACTTATATAAAAATCTAGATTTTAATTGGTACCAAACATGAGCAGCATAGTATCTAAAGGACTAATATGAAAATATTTATTAAAGTGCAATCAAAAATGTTATAGGTAGAATCGAACCCACATCAAAATTGATGGTTCGCGTTTGGATTTGATTCCACTAATTATAAAGATCCGAATAGTTCCATTCATGAAGTATTCAACAAATTATAGACATTGAAATTGATTAAACTTGATCCCACCAAAACTTTGGACCCTGATTTCCCAGGATTTACCTATTTGTCGCAGTGTGAATGAATGCATATTAGAGAAAGCTATAATTCGATAGGCCCCCCGCATTAATAAATGCATATTAATGAAAGCTATGACCTGATAGGCACTCTGCCTATAGGGGACACCACATCGTCCTCCTATTCAAATAGTGCCGACGTGACCCTATTCATCTAGCAAAACCCTTCAATAAATATGTCTCAATGAATCTAGCCCCAATTTGGACTAGAACTCAAGCTGCTTTGGGCCGAGTTTGGTCTGTCTACTGTACAATAGAACCAAATTAGGATGCAATAATTGCAATTTTAATTTCAATTTCAATTCCCCCCCCCCCCCAACCACCACATAAAGCAATTCTCATGTTTACATTTAGAATAGGAGAATCTGTCTAAATTAATTCCATATCAGGCTCGACAGTTTTGAAATCCTTTTTACTTTTTAACAAAAATGTAAAACCTCTTTTAAGAAAGATAAAGTTGAAAAGCTAGGAGCTCGAATGGCTATGAAGCTGAACTTTGATGCCAAATTTAACCCGAACCAGCTTGCTTAAAAAATTCCATTATAAATATCACCGAAAATTTTCCAGTTCAAATAATATTAAAAATTGATCACATAATAAGTATATAACATCCCGTAATTATTATATACATTACGTTAAGAAATATATAATTATTTATTATTTATTAAGGATAGAATAGTCATTTTTAGTTTCCTTTGTTTAGCCTATATATATTCTCTTTCTATTTAGGTTAAACCATCTTTTAGCATTCAATTAATTAATGTAGTATCAATGAAATCCTAGCCTCCTCCTGTTTCTTCTTTATTTTCTTTGAATTGTTTAACACATTAATCTTTAAGAGGATACTTAAGGATCCTTGTGAATCATGCTTAAATAAAATAAATAAATAAGGTATCATTAGCTATTCAGTTTAGCAATCGCTTTTTACTTAATGACAAAAACTTGTCTACAACTTAATTTACTGGATAAGGAAGACGGTTTTCTTCCTGTATGGATAAGAAACCAACTAATGAAATATATATTTCACTGTCTATTCTAGTTTTTGGATAAAGGATAAATATTAGGTTGGGAGGAAAATTGGCTAAGGAAATACAATGAAATGCACTAAAAGATAAGCTTTTTATAACATCTATGTTATTGTATGATTTGAAGTTTCTTTTATTTTTTTCTTGGACATAAGCATATATCCAAAAACCAACCAAAATTTGAAAACTGTCTACAATGTTTGAATATTCTCCTTGTCAACGTCAAATAGTAAATTCATATATTTATATATACACACACAAAGATAGTCAGCAATGTATACCTTCCAATTATCTTTCAGGTTATATATTATTGTAAAGAGATGAGGGATTTGGATTTGAATACCTTAGACCACCATGGTGAAACCAAGAAAGGTTGGTTGAATTTTCTTGTAATTATTTAAAACCTAACTTTTTTTTTTCTTTTACATTGATTTCTTGGTTGTTCTTGTTTCAGAAGTAGCTGTGAATAAGGACTCCAACCCAGAATTTTCTGAAGACGAAGAAATGCTCGTGGAAAGAATGTTCAGTTTGCTTGGACCAAGGTTAGTATGTAATCCACGGGCTCCATCTTAGAACGTAAACTTTTTAAGAGTAGTAGTCCAATTCCTATGGTATTTTTACACTTAATCCACAAGGAATTTGTTTGGAACAGGTGGACATTGATTGCTGGAAGAATACCAGGAAGAACAGCAGAAGAGATTGAGAAGTTCTGGAATTCAAAGAAGACTTTAGCTACAGAGAATAAACATTTGGATCCCAAGTTCCAAGAGCCTACAAATAACAAGTAGAGATATATATATATATTGTAAATATGTTTTTAATAATTATGTATTGTACTGTGTGTATGGTAGTCAGTAATCAGTCATAGTGAATAGAATGATTCTCAGTTGTAAGCATCTATGTATTAATTATCATTTGTTTTTCAGTAATTGAATCTGTTGAGGGAAAAATCCCTGCTTTTGTTTGAACGAATTTTCTCTGTTAAAATTTGTATGATACAAGAATTTAGCATAGGGTGCTAGAAAATTCAGAATCGAACATTACAAGATCGTATATAAAAACAAAAATAGATATGGGGTTCGCATTAGTCGAGTCCCATATATTTAATTCTGTAAAATTTGACCCATTTTGTCATTGAACGAAGGGTCAAAACCATTCAGATTGATTTTTCGATCAAAAGTACCATGCGTGATTGAACTCTAACAATCGCATCTACTCTCTCTTCCACTGCCTCCCACAGACTTACTTAGGTCGGAAGTATAAATTATTATTAGTTGTTATCATAGTTTAAATAACAATGAACCTTTAGATTAGATTTATGGGTCTTGCTACGCTCGGTGTACAACCCCCCTCACAAGAGGGGGGTCCACGATTTTTTTATTGGATGTGGGCCCTCATCTTTTGTGAGAGGCTGTACGCCAAGCTGTCAAGTTCGGCAGCAAAATCCTAGATTCATTTCGTGATGCATTATGAATCTTAGAGTTTACTTTCACGTAAGTTATTAATGATCTCGACTGATGATAGATGACAATAATCAAATTTAAAAGACGTATATACGGCACGTAACTAGATAGAATGAGCAAGTGGGTTGAGTTGTGAGTGTGAAGTCTCACTCACTAAACTACAGGTGATAATGCTTATCCGAAAATGGCAGTGGCAAATGCATTATTAGATTAGATTCCAAGTTATTGATAGAATATGGCAATGGTCCCATTCTAATAGATGCAACTTTTTTATGTAACTTTTTTCTAAATCAACGTTTGTGAATCAATTTTGGTATAACAAGAATAAGGAAATGATGTATGCATATAAAACCATAGCAGAAGCGAAGGGGAGAAAAAGATATCAAATGCGTCTTATTATTCATCATGATTAGAAGCATATATTATACGACTTAATTATTTGAGAGCATTGCAATCTTAAACGCAATTGTGTACATAAATATTTAAGTTATTTTTTACTCATGCTTCTCAAGAGATTCATAATTATTATTCACTTATCCATCACTATTTTCTATTTTTTGATAACTTAAAAAACTTTATAAACACTTTTCAAACATGTCTGGCCAAACCCAGAGGAAGCCCAACCCTCATTGGTCCACGGTTTTTCGCTAAATTGCATTGGACTATCTAAGAAGAGAGAAGATTAACATGTTTAAATAAAATAACAATATGACCCAAAATTTGGGCAAATATTTTTAACATTTTGTTTACTTCTAATTTTACTTTGATTTTTGTAGATTTTATATAGAATGCTAGTGCAATCATGTCAACTATTGAATATTTCAAATCCAAAAATAAAATAAAATAAAAACATAGAAAGAAAGATAATGTAATCGAAGTTGTTGAGATGATTTTAACAAAACAGGTGGAATTCACGTGGTAGATACAATGAAATTATGAAATATATCTTTAATTTGATTATGATTAGTCATTATGTATTATCACGTGTAAGTGTCTTTCTTTATAAAATAAACCATAGGGATGAACTAAGAAAAGCAGAATAATATTCGTAATTCGACAACTGATAGGACCACAAAAATGTGGGGCTTAAATTGTTGTAAGGGATAATTTGTGATAAATATACCAATCAATTAGCATCCCATTCATTGTTGGGCTTGTGGCTAGTGTTGGGACGAAATTTACAGTTGGCTCAACGGTCATGACGTAGAAGCCGTTGAATTAGTGAAGGGAAGAATGAGCGACTCTGGCCTTTAATTATCCTCCAATTCAATTTTAAGAGAATAGATTTAAAAATTCAAAACTTAGGTAGTAATTAATAAACATTATATTTAAAATAATATATTATATATCTAATAAATATCCATCTTAATATCTCTACCAACTCCAATCTCTATCTAATATCTCTCCAATCTCTCCCTACCGACTCACCCAGCTAGTAACCGACATCATACCTGTTGTCGTCCCCTCTCAGACCACGATGGTAGTAAAGATCTAGATAAAGGTGATTTACAGTTGGCTCAACGGTCATGACGTAGAAGCCGTTGAAATTAGTGAAGGGAAGAATGAGCGACTCTGGCCTTTAATTATCCTCCAATTCAATTTTAAGAGAATAGATTTAAAAATTCAAAACTTAGGTAGTAATTAATAAACATTATATTTAAAATAATATATTATATATCTAATAAATATCCATCTTAATATCTCTACCAACTCCAATCTCTATCTAATATCTCTCCAATCTCTCCCTACCGACTCACCCAGCTAGTAACCGACATCATACCTGTTGTCGTCCCCTCTCAGACCACGATGGTAGTAAAGATCTAGATAAAGGTGCAATTCGAGATTCATGAATACAGCATCTCAATAATAACGGCTTGTTTGAATTTTTAATTTAGAAAAACATTAACAAGAATTGACAAATTATTTAATTAAACTTTTATTTGAACTTCGAATTTTTGGTGTTGGGATTTCAACTACACGTAAATTGCTACCTATGATATTGATCCAATAACTTGTGACTTGTTCTCTTGGATCTACGATCTTTGGACATTGATCTATTATGTGTAATATTAATCCATTGACCTATGACTAATTCTCTTGGATCTATGACCTGTAGGCATGGATCAATTACCTACGCCAAATGATATGTGACATGTAAACCTTTGAATTTGAATATGTGACATATTATCAGTGCACAAAGACATGTTACATCTGATCTGCAAATAATTAATATTGATATGTGATCTATACAATATATGTGTCTTATGATGTGTGACCTGTGAACATAAATTAGTAATTTATGACTAATTTTAATTAATAGTGACATGTGAACATTGATTCGTGAGCTACGCACAATGACCTATGACCCGTGAACAAATTGTGAGTCACCACGACCTCACAAGCATCGATACCACAATTTGCAAACCACCAACACTCCATCTTAACCATCACTATCGCACCACCACCACCACTAACAATCACCATCTGCAAACTGTAAACAAACAAATCACCAACAATCAAAACTACCAAGCGAATCACCAACGACTAAAATAGCAAAACAACCAAGTAAACCACAAAAACAATATCGTCAACAACATGGTAGCGAGGCTCGGTGTGCAATGGGTGAGGGTCGCCTCACAACAACGCTCTTCACTAAGAGTGCCACTGCGAGGTGGTGCTCACGGCTATGGAGATTAGCAGATTGGGTGCTGTAAGTGGACCATTTTATGTGCATTAGATAAAATCGTGTCCAATTTAGTTATAATAACAAAGTTTCAACCACAAAAGAAAGAACATCAAGATTTTTCGTTCTAGCACCGAACTTTTCAGCCAAAATACCTACTCGTCATATTGAGAATCCAAAGATGTGGTTAACGCTCCAAATCCAACAGCACAATCAATGTGTACAAAATTATAGGCTAATATACAAAGTATCAAGTCAAAAAATCCTCAGAAATTACATAGTCTCCCTCAATCACTCATCTTACCAGATTACACAAAATAATCAGAGGTTACAAATCCCGAAGAATAGCATTTAAGCCTTCATACTCTCCATTTACAATATCTCACACATAAAATATCAAAAATTAAATATTACAATGAGTATAAGGCGAACAGAGACAAAGAGAAACAACACCAAATGAGAGATATCAATATTTAAATGAATATACCAATTAACCTAGCATCAAAAGCCACCAATCTGCCACTTGTCATCATCTCATCATTTCAACTAATGTCGAATGAAATGCTAGTATACAAAAGTGTAGAGATAACCGGGTCAAGCCAGTTATCTAAATCATTAGGCCAAGGTCCAGTTTTAATAATGCAACAGGTCCAAAAGTTTTAAGCATCATTTTCATCCCAAAAGTTTACATAGTTAAAGAATGATCATAGAACAATTAAATTTCAAAATTAAATTCTCTCTCTTTTTAAAAAAGACAGGAGACTACTTGTACAAAGAGAACAGGGACGAATCCAGGATTGGATCCAAGATCGAGCTATAAAATTTCAAATCCGGCTACTACATGGAAAAAAAAAATTTCACACATAAAAAATTGGTTTTTTTACCAAAAATAAAATAAAATAAAAAATACCTTATAAAAAAAAACTCTTGGGCCTGAGGAGTGGGGGGGGCTACAGCCCAGCCCATCCCCCCTTAAATCCGTCTCTAAAAGAGAATAGTTTGGAAGCAAAAGTAACATTTTCCCTCTCGCTCTCCGCTGTTTAAGAAGCAGCCAAGTGATCCCGTAGAGCAAAAGTCAGTGACCTTAAGCTTTCGTAGAGAGGGAAATAATGGCTTCCAAAGCTCCCTTCTTCCTTGCCCTACTCTACTTTTCATCCCTATCAACTTTTGCAAAAAATCATGATCCTGGTCTGGTTATGAACTACCATAAAGACATGTGTCCTCAAGCCAAAGACATCATTAGAGAACAAGTCAAGATTCTTTACAAAAGCCAAAAGAATACTGCATTTTCTTGGCTCAGAAACATCTTCCATGACTGCTTTGTTCAGGTAAACTCTATATACGCTTAAGCTTTATTTTAGTATGTATATATACATACATCTTTTTGTCTAATTCCCTTTTGTGTTGTTTAACGTTTACAGTCATGTGATGCATCATTGTTGCTGGACTTAACAAGGAAAGTTTTGTCTGAGAGACACAGACAGGAGCTTCGGAATAAGAAACTTCAGATATATTGAGACCATTAAAAAAGCTTTAGAAAGGGAGTGCCCTAGAAGTGTCTCCCGTGCAAATACTCTTCTGTTGTTTGCTAGAGATGGCATTGTTGTGGTAACATTAGTTTTGTTGATCCCAAAGGCGACGCAAGGATTGATATTAATGACGTTATATGAAATATTTAATAATATCACAAATATGAGAATTCAAAGAGAGTTAAGCGGAGAAAACAATGTTTTATTATAACAATATGGAGAGAAAATTACAACAAGGCAATTTTTGCTCAAACTAAACTAAAAGAAGAGGTCACTATTTATAGGTACATACCATACCATAAATATGGAAATAATGTGAAATAAGAAAATAATATATTTCCAATAAAATCATATAAAAATAAGGAAACAATTTTTTTTATATGAAAATAAGGAAACAATTTTTTCCTAATTTGGATCATAAACCAAACAATTTCTATCTTGACCCAAATTCTGGTGCAACGAACAAAACTCCAAAATTTCTCCACCTAAAAAAATATGTTCAACTGTATCAAAACAATAATCAAAACTCTCCATCACAAAAAAGCATCTTCATTTATCCGACGTCCACAAGCGACACTTGAACCCAACTCTCTAGTTCCTAAAATTTCACCAAGGAATTACTATTAATCAAATAGCGTCGAAGCATACCCTGTAGCAGAAACCACACCAAATGCCTTATCAGAAAGTCTTTTACTATAACTGTCACCTTCAGTGATCCTAAAAAGCATTACATACATCACTGACACCACTGTACCTATGCTTCATGAGTCCAACCCTAGCAACTAAACATAATGTATATGTTGAAATTGGTTGCAAAGCGGAATCACCATTACTCCCCCGAGTAATATTTTGATTCGACCTAGAGCCAGTCACAAGAGGTATTGTACCAAACTGAATGTTCATCACGGTACTAAACTTGTACGGATGTCTCTTAACTGGTTCTGGGCTTCCCTGCAAGATGTCTAACGAGAAATTCTTCCGTCCCTGCAATACAATTCGGATACCCCTTCGGACCTTCAAGACTCCACCCCTACCAGAGAAATTATACCCTTTTACATACAGGGTACTCAGAGAGATGAGATTCATTTTCAAGTTTGGAATATATCGAACCTGATCAATTGTTCTCACCGTCCCATCCTGCAACCTTAATCTGACTCGATCAAAACTGGTTGTTTTCCATCACAACTCCACCTTACTTGACAGCCTTATATGTTAGAAAGAAATTCTAATTGGAACACATATGATGTGAATATGTCGAATCAAGAATCCACTTATCATCAAGTTTAGACTCCACATCAGATACCACAATCAACATCATATCACCACCATCCGAAAAATCCTCGGTAACATTTGTCTTGAATTACATGATTGCCTCCTATGATTTGCAGCTAAATTATCTTTAGCCTACAACTTGTCGTAATCTTTATTAAAGTGTCATTTCCTCCTGTAATAGAAGCATTACAAATTGCTGAAGTTTGTCCTCGATCTACTCCGTCGTCGATCATCATGAGATACCAGAGCTTCCTCATCCCTCGATATAGCTCCAACCAAATGCTTCTTATTCTTCTTTGAGAACAGAGCATCGTAGACATCCTCAATAGTCAAAATATCACGACTGTATAGGATGGTGTCCTGAAATGACGAATAAGAGGCGGGCAGTGAACACAACAGAATCAAGGCTAGATCCTCCTTGTACTTAACCTTCAATTTATCTAAATCTGCAACTATTTCCTTGAACACAGCAATATGGTCTTCCAGCGACCCTCCTTCTGACATGCGATGTGAACACAGCTTTTATTTTAGAGTCAATTTGCTAGTGAGACTTTTAGTCATGCATTATTGCTCCAGTTTCAACCACAAAACAGCCGTCGTTTTCTCTTTTAAGATGCTCAGCAAAATATTATAAGATAAATGAAGATGAATTTGCTATAAAGCCTTCTAATCCTCTCATTATTTCTCCTCAGATGTCCAATTAGCTGGCATCTTTTCAAAATTCAGCAACGCATCGTCCAAATCCAATTGCGACATAATAGCTCTCATCTTTACTTGCCACATAGAAAATTTTATATTGCAATCCAACAACGAAAATATCACATTTCCATGTAGTTATCTCTAAAAACTCTCAATCAAATCATAAAGAACCGACAACCTAACTCTGATACCACTTGTTGATCTCAAAGGCGACGCAATGATTGAAATTAATGACGTTGTATGAAATATATAGCAAGAGCACAAAGATAAAATAAGATTTAAAGTAAAGAAATCAAAGAGAGTTAAGTAGAGGAAATAATGTTTTATTATAACAATATGGAGATAAAATTACAACACAGCAATTTTTGCTTCAACTAAACTGAAAGAAGATGCCACTATTTATAAGCACATACCATACTATAAAGATGAAAATAAAGTAAAATAAAGAAATAATATTTTTTCAATAAAATCATGTGAAATTAAGGAAACAAATTTTCCCTAATTTGGGTCATAAACCTAACAAGTTTCACCAAATTTCTATGTATAATTGTCAGTTTATGGTACATTTGCGGGCAGGTACTAGTATAATTCTTAAGAACTCACTAAATTCTTTTTCCTTTGACCCTACTCTTTTCTGTCTAATGTTTAATAAACAAAACAGATCTGAAGTTGTTATTGTTTAAATCTGATCATTTTGCATTGGATTACCAATTGCTTATTGGACAGTATCAATGAAGAAAACGAAGTTAAAGCTGGGTTTGTTCAAATTCTCATGTGTGTTCAGTCCTGTCCAATAATGTGTATCAAATATGAACTACTAAAGGTTTCCAATTTCTGCATCCAAGTTTTCGCATTTTAATGCTGAGTTCCAAAGGGTACAAGCTACAGTGTTTGTTTGTTGTAACTTCTTACTTTCGAATGATAAAATAAGCCTGATTTTAAGTGTTTGTTTGTGGTTTCTTATTAAAATTTGGTAGAATCCCATGTGGAAAAAAAATAAAAAGATTAGTACTATAATGTTTTATTGGAACTTGTTTGCAGCTTGGAGGGCCCTACATTCCTCTTAAAACTGGAAGAAAAGATGGCAAAAGCAAAGCAGATATACTTGAGTAATACCTCGCAGACCACAATGAGAGCATGAGTGTTGTTCTTGAGAGGTTCTCTAGCATTGGAATTGACACCCCTGGATTGGTTGCTTTGCTAGGCATGCATACACAGACAAAATATGTAGAACTATAATTTCCCAAATATATTTATATTTCCATAAAACTTCGCAACCTTTGGAGAATTTTACAACTGTTCGAGAATTTTCCAACTGTTCGATGCTTACAGGGGGCTCACAGCATAGGTCGAACCCAATGTGTTAAATTGGTTCACCATCTACATCCAGAGGTAGATCCTGAACTCAACCCAGACGATGTTAAGCACATGCTCCACAAGTGCCCAAATGCGATCGCTGATCCTAAAGCTGTGCAGTATGTGAGGAATGACCGTGGCACACTGATGAAACTCGATAACAATTACTATCTGAACATACTGGATAATAAGGGCTTGTTGATTGTTGATCATCGACTTGCTACAGATAAGGTAACCAAGCCCTACATAAAGAAAATGGCGAAAAGCCAAGATTATTTCTTCGAGGAGTTCTCTCGAACCATTACTACTCTCTCTGAGAACAACCCTCTCACTGGCACAAAAGGTGAAATACAAAAGCGGTGCAATCTTGCCAACAAGCTCCATTAGAAGGTTTTGCTGCAATTGTACCTGTGAGGGAGAATGGAGTGAGTTACAAAATTATGATATTTACGAATGGTTCTTGAGTGTGGCAATAAACTAGTACTTGCCTTGTAATTATATGAAATGTTTCAATGCAGATTTCTCCCTTTTCTCAGGCAAAGTGGTTGATGTGGGTAAAGGGTTCCATCATGCAAACAACCAAGATCCTTAGGAATCATTTTTTCCCATAGCGTAAATAGTACTAAATAGAATTAGATAGTACGATAAACACAATTTTAACTTCTGTTCCGTGTAATCTACTAGACCAAGTAATCCGTTAGATGAGATTAATATCTGCTGTCAACAAATCCAGGGAGAACGGTGGGCATATTTAATCCCAATCGTTTATCACACAGGAATCCACTTACAAGAATAAACACTGTTGTGAGTATAAAATTAATTGGGCATTCAATACATTACGGATAAACACAAATTAGTAATGGAATAGAGTATGCACAACACCATCTACAGCTATCTGAACAAAAAGGCCTCTCAAATTCTTAACCATACTCCCTTCAATGTCACGAAAGCAGTTGATAATCTGACAAGAAATCAAGATAATACGTCATCTTGCACCTCGTCCCCAGCATCTCGTCATCCTTACAGAACTTTCTCGTGAGTCCAAAAAACGAACTGCTCAAAACATTATTTGCCTTGACACTAGAAGAGCTTCGCCTGTTGTGTTGTTCCGCTTCTCATCATTTGACAGAACTCCTCATAGTTGATCCGTCCATCCTATAAAAATGAAACAATATAATGCTGGTCTATACCTAATCACAAGGTGTCTTATCTCATTTCTTGAATCAGGCATACGCTTACATTATCTGTATCAACTTCTGAAATTATTTCCTTGATTGTGGCCTCATCACCCATACCGTACTCCTTCATAGCAGTTTCCAGTTCATCTCTCGTAATATAGCTGAAATGACACTAGGAAATTAGGCGATGACAAATGTCATGGATAATGCAAGGAAAGCATGAAAAACCCCACAAGGTAGCACTAATTTAACACATAATCAGAGGATTTTGACTTCTTTTTCTTTGTTAAACAGTCCAGTACTGTTAATCCAACTTAACAAACTTCCTTAGATGTGTACAAGATAAATGCAGTTGACATTAGACCATTATCATGGCTTACCCACTGTTATCCTTGTCAAAATACTGAAAAGCTTTAAAGAGATGCTTGTCTCGTTCAAGCTTATGTCTATGCATCGTAGCAGTTATACATTCAATATAATCAATTGTCCCATTTCCATCCACATCAGCCTGAATTATAAAGAATGAACAGATTAATCCAAGGAAGCAGTCATGGCAAATAAAGGTTCTATAAATTTTGTCCATATAGACGATTGGAACTTACAGCTTCCATGAGTTGTTTTACTTCTACTTCTGACAGTTTTGACCCAAGGCGAGCCAATCCAGATTTCAATTCTTCATATGTGATTGCGCCACTATTGTCTGTGTCCATATTTGTGAACATTGCTTTGAGACCTTTAATTTCTTCTTCAGATAAACTTTGGGCAATGACCTACAGGAGTTTCCAAATGCAACAGCACATAGTAAGGAAAAGAACATCTCCATCTAAGTTCGAGCAATATTGCATATATTACATGGTTGCCAAAATGATCAAGATCCATGACCATAGGAAAAGTACTTTTTTGATACCATATAGTAAATTCTCTAAAGAACTCCATTCATGTCAAGTCGAATTCCCTCTACTTTCTATTTGAGGTTGTTTCATAATAATAGTCATTATTCCTTAAATGGAAATTTTTTTAGTATTCCACGTGGGACCTACTCATCTACTGGTTACCGCAAAAATGCAATTTATGAGCACCTTTTTTGGTCCCTAGATTAATTATATATCATGTTTTTCACTCTTACCTAAAAGCTTGTTTATCAGAGTGGCTTTTTTCCCCCCAAAATCATTTTCAACCTGAGATTCTATTAGATTCACAACTTTTCACTATTTTTTAACCATATATTCTCCAAAAAATCATTTTTCCATTGGAAAAATCTGTGCCAGACAAGCTTTAAACAATCATACCAAGATATTGATATTGACCCTAAGGAATTGATATAAATTGAAAGCAGTCTATTATCC